CAAACAGCACACTGTAGGAACAAAAAGAACAGCAGATTTTTGAGGGGAGGGGGACTTGATAACCCAGACCCTTTTTTTCTGATGGTGAACTGATTTCTAAACACCACGTTGATACACTAAGATGCATTAAAATGTCTCCTCTCTATTGTTTTTCTGCATGCTCACAAATGATTTCAATACATTCAATATAACTTGTAATTTTGTATTCATGTTTTTGTTTAGTTTTTTTCATGTGCATTTACAGCAATGTTTATTCATGTGCACTGTCCCTGATAAATAAACTGATAAATAAATAAATTAACTGATAAAGTAGTCTTTAGTAAAGCACCACCAGCTCAAAATATGTACTTTATGACTCGCTTTATTCCTTATTTAAATAACAAAACAAAAAACTGTATTCTCTGTGTATATATTGTGACATTTTGGTACTTTGGTGCATTGTATGAATCTTATCAGCAGGAGTCCACAAATAATTTTTGCACCAGGGTCTCCTTGGTAGCTTAATCGTCCTCATTGGCGAAAGCAAATTGCAGGTTGTCCTAAATTTAAAAACAAAACAAATTTTATGTAAGACTAAATATGAATGACCAACTACAACACAGAGGGAATTGCACCCCAGGAAATATGTACAACTAGGAAATGGGTAATAACCAAGGACTCAACCTGTTTCTTTGTGCTAAGCTAAGGTAAGGGGCTGCTGGCTTAAACTTCACAATTACTGTAAAGACATGAGAGCAGTATTAGTCTAATCATCAAGCGCTACATAAAAAAGCTAAGCATATTTTCTAGCATATTAAAAGTACTCTTTTAAGCTATAGCTCAGCTAAAGACAACAGTTTTTTTATCATAAAATGTTACCACTACTTTTAAGTCCTGATTACATTTTGTATACTTAAAATAAGTGCTGTATTATTTGTCTAATAATGCTGTTAATAAACTACTTGATTAATGAAGGATTTCAGAGGAAGCGTGGTAAACTTGTTCGAACTGCAAACATGGTAAAACAAGGATGGGATGAAAGGGTCTTTGTGAAACACTGTACATTTCACATTCATCACAGCGAGGGAAAGAGGATTACTTATTGCATGCTTACATTCATTTAGGATGCGGCGCCTGAACAGGAAATTGTGAATGTGCTGGGATAGAATGTGATACTCAGTATAATGATAAAATATAATGATACTTACAGTGAAACACAATATGTCAGAATTACATATTACCATGTAACATAAATGGATTTCTGTTACTTGAAACAATCTGCATGAGTAGCATATTATGAGTTGGATGATTCAAACCGGATTCTAAATGAAAATGAGTTAATATGTTAATAATCCCTTAGTAATAAGTGGTAATATTAAACCATCAATAGCTGGTTTAATTTGGATCCCAGTCTACATGCCATGGTATTAACACAGAATATTCTGAAATAATCTAAAGAGAATATTTTCATGTTTATGTTTCCAGCAGTTTTAGATGTATAAAGCCTGCAGTTATGACTTTATAAATGGGATTATTATAGTTCAAACCCAATTTTACTCACTTATTATTGGTCTTTGGTCAGGGCAGCAATTTCCATTTCATGCATAAGATGGAAACAAAATTAAAAAATTAAATGTTTCACTAAAGGCAGCTGTTTACAACCATTGGTTTTTATGGTTCCTACACTCTGGAAATACAATAAACTCAGAGGCTTGTCACATTTTATAAGGTTAACAAATGGTCTTTGTATGAGGATGTGACTTGTTAATAGGTTACTCTCCCTGCTCATTTTCCTCTTGTTTCCATTCATGAACATCAGTCAAAGCATGCAGATAAACATCTTCTGTGTAAGAGATGGATGTGTTTTGGTGGGTATGATTCTGTACTTTCATTGATGACTCTGGGCCCGGTGCTTGAAGCAAAAATTTGACATTTTGGGAAAAAATTGTGGAGAGGTTGGTGTGAATTCTGATACACATGAGTCAGTTAGATTTAAGGTTACCGCCAGCAGCCAGTTAGCTTAGCTTAGCACAATGACTGGAAGCATGGCTGTGAACAAACTGATAACTGATATGGGAGCGGTACAGACACAAATAAGTGCATTTTCTTAAATGTCTAATGACAAAATAATACAAAAGATGTTAAAAGGCGTGTAAAGAATTATTTAAAATTCATCAAATTTGTCAAGATGCAAATTCAACTTCTGATTCTTTCCTTGAAGGTGGCTTAGAGTTGGAGCACAGTAAAGACCGTAATCTGTGTTGTGGCTTGAAGGTGTGTGAATCACAGACAATAACCTTCCCTCATTACCTTTGGGTATTCCCTCAAACAATCCAATTAGACATGCAAATGCCAGTCAGCTTGATAATAAAAGAAAAATCTTCAAAGGTCACAACATTTCAGGACTTCTCCAGAGCTTTCATGAGACAAGAAACGCATCAGTTCTAGTTACTGAAGCAACACTGATGATGGCAAACGGTGTCCTTTCACCTCAAAGGGCCTTAAGAATGAATGCTGATATGATAAAGCTGCAAAAAATAATATAACTTATCGTGCTGTTGCTATGCTCCGTTGACCTCCATTGATTAAAGAGGCCAGAGAGATTAGTGTAGGAGGATGACAAGGGTGGGGATGAGTGTGATGACTCCCTGGAATTACTCAATTACCAATGCACTCCATTTGTTGCTACTCATGCTCTCAAACAAAGTCACATCAGATTTCAAAAGACAAAGCTGTGATGAGGGCAGGACTGTTGTTTCAGTCATCGGTCGAGTGTGTTTCTTGTTTTTCCAGCAATCTTCCCTATAAATCATAGTCCATTTGTACAGTGATAAAGTAAAAATGCTTTGCGTTAGTGAGATGAATTAAGATATTATGTCATCTTTTCAAAGTATTTATGTGTGCATGTGTCCAGGACCGCAATGTAAATGCATCACATATTATTCTGTGTAGAAAATCCTCATGGAATATCTGCATGAATCCAGTAATTATTCAAAATGCTCCTCGTCTCTCATCCTGCCTGCCTCAGTTGTCTCACATCTCCTCTTCATTGCACTGTAATAAAACTATACTCTCTCGTAACAATAAAGCCAATTACAACCAAAGTAAACCCACCTTCCTTTGTATATATTATATTAATTTTGGGTTTTTGCTGAAGAAAACAGTTATAGTGTTAGAGAGTATTTGTGCCACCACATACGCAGCTTCACACAAAGACCAACACATTACCTGAGTTTTACGAGAAAAGGTAATTCAGTAATGATCCATAATGACTCTGTCAAATAACGAAGACGATTTAAATTCACATAACAGTGTGAATGCATTGATATTGATCAAAAGTCCAAAATTAAGACATATTTATTTATAATTATCATTATTTTATATGTTTGTGATGTGTGCTGGGCTTGAGATGATTTGTTGGATTGGTATTAAGAAGCATTATAATGGCTGCTTATGTCCAAAACACATTCACACAAAAGTAATGCTTATTTTTTCGAAAGTAAGAGCACAATTCCTGCTTTAAAATAAATTTCAGATTTCAGTGATTTGGTCCTGTTAAATACATCATGGCTGTTGATGTTTTTACGTTTGCTGCTAGGTGGATTACATCAGTAACGCCATTAAGGCCATTATTGGGTCCTTGCTTTGTGGGAAAGGCTTCTTATGCATAAAACGAACATGCCAGTGCGGTGGATGTGTAGTTTATAATATGATATTGAAAATGTCATAAATCTGATACTACATGTCTCTAAAATACAATTTGCCACTGATCATTACAATGCGGCTCAAGCGTGTAATAACATCTTCCTTCACACAGGTGATGAGCAGGTGAAAGAAGATATTATCCAGAAATGTTTTCCTAATGACTACATGAAAAGAAAATCAGAGGCAATAAAAAAAGAAAGAAGTTAAGTCCCTACAAAGACCAAAAAAGTGGATCACATCAGTCCAGCTCTTAGATCGTTGCACTGGCTTCATGCATGTCATATAATGGATTTTATTGGTTTATAAAGCACTGAATGGTTTCCAATTTGCTGTTATGCTATGAACCGCCAGGCCTGCTTACTGTCCCCAGAGTCAAAACTTAACATGAAGAAGCATTCAGAAGAATTCAGTCTTTTTGCTTCCAACTTTCACATTAATAGTGAAGGTAGAGATACACACATGCAGGGCATCTTAATCAATGGAATATAAAGAATTGTTGAGTGTATATTTACAGAAAGTACATTTTGTGCAGGGTTCCTCACCTCATACTCGCTTACCATTACAACATCAACAGAAAAATAGGGCTACAAAATGATAAAAACGATTTTATGAGAGTCTGTGCCAACATAGCCTTTCAAGGTAAGTATAGCACACAGTATATAGAAATAGCTGCTTTCCTGACATGAAGTTGTTGACAAATTGGCCCCGTCAATACAGTCTGATGGAAGTTTCCCCAAGAAAATAGCTTCAAATCACATCCATACATCAAATACTATATAGAAACCCATGTGACAAAACAATTCAATTAGTATCTCAATATTTTGACTTCCCATATATAGTAAGTCAAAATATATTTAAAAAAAAATTAAGTTTCTCATTATTTTAATATTCTAAGTCAATGTTTTGAGAAAGTTTCTCATTACTAACCTTTCCATCACATTGGCAGAAATTGGCTTCCATAAAATGCAGCCTAATGCAACCCAACAAAACCAGAAAAATCACAGACTTGTGATAACATGTAACCTTTACAAAATAGCCTTTGGAGTGTGTTTGCGTGATACTTTGTGTTCTCTGTGTGTTTGAGCGCAATGTGAGTGAGAAAACAAGGCTTATAAGACTGCTTGAGTTCCCACTTTCCTCACCCTAACTTTGGATGTGTATCATTCCAACACCTCCCTGAAGCGTCACGTTCAGCCAACCTGTTGTTCAGATCTAATGACTTTACGCGCGCGTGGGGCCCTAAACAATGACGCAGTCAAGTGTCGAGCGCGCAAGGAGGGGTGGTGTGTGTGTGTGTGTGTGACACGAGCCTTCATATTTCTCTGACGTTGGACAGAAACTCTCAGAAGAGCCACAAGTGTAGCGGACAGGACCAAATAAAAGACAAGCAAGGCCAGCGAGAGAGAGAGAGTGAGAGCGAGAGAGAGAGAGAGAAAAAGAGAGAGATGAGGACCTTCCAGAGCCAAAGTCAGGCCGCGCAGCGCGGAGCCGCCAGCAGCCCGCACAGCCCGCACAGCCTCAGCAGCAGCACCGCCGTGAGTCCACTCAGCACGGCCAGCATCACCCTCGCAGCCCTGCTCATCCTCACCATCCCTGTCTGCAACAGTAAGCCAGCCGCGTTTTATCCTGTTTGTGCGTTTTATCCTCAGCTTCACTGGCAGCTCAAACTCTCTAGGAGTCTAACTTTTAGTCTGTCCGTTCTACCTGTCTATCTGTATCTTTTCAGTCAGTCCTACAACCTTTTTGACCTAAAGTATAAGATAAATCAAACACAGATTATAATTCTCTACTCATTTGTACTCAAATGTAAGATGGGACATTTGGCAAAGTCACCACCTAAAGAAGGAAACCACAAGAAATCATCAGTTTAAATAATATGGTTAATATAAAGTAATAATATGATTAATACCAACTAATAATGATACATCTCTATAGCCAATGTGTTATTTCTAATGTTTTTTATACTTATACTGAAGAACCATTATTTGTATATGGGTTGCTGAATAGATAAACAGATACAGTTTTGAATATAAAACCTTAAAATTGTTTCTCTTAATTTCTTTGAAAATACTGTATTTTCATGTGATTTACTGTACGTCTGTTTGCAGCGGATTCAAATCCGTATTGTGAATATCTATCCTGATTCATGTTTAAAAGGATCTTTATCCATCCATCATCCATCAATCACTGTCATTCTCGCTCCCTAACTGAGAGCAGTCAGAAACCCCGTTCTGAGCTTGCAACCTCTGACTCACTGTTTCTATTACCTGACAAGACTATGATGTGCGTAGATGTAGATTGACCGTGACTTCCTATATGGCTCATAAGCTGTTGTGATGTTGTACTGTTGACGTACTTTCATTGTAGAAACGTGATTAGATAGATTGTAAAAAGTAGAAGAGTTGGTTAAATCTTTTTTTTAAATCATGAATTTTTAAAAAGCACATATGCATCAAGATGTTGGACAATAACTGCCTTCAAATTCTACAGTAAAGCTTTTATTCCTGCTAACAGATATCCAATGCAATCCCGTCGAAGCAGAGCGCCAGGAGATGCTGTTTGTCATCAGACACCGCTGACCTCCAGCTTCTACAGCACATTTTCATCATGCTTTATCGCTGTTCTTTCAACAAAAGTATTCTATTGCTGTCACGTGTAAATTGTGCGAGGATGATATCATAATAGCAACATTAGCTGTATTATATTAACTGTGTATTTCTGTGTTTTCAAGGTGCTCCAGCAGAACTTCAGCAAGCCACAACAGATCAGAGGCGGCTCCTCAGCCAGGTATGCAGCTTCCTTTTATTCTTTCTCTCTTCTTTATCCTTCCTGTTTGTGTGCCTGTCCATCATCCTCTGTGATGCTCCACAGATAGACGCTGTGTGCTCATCCTACCTCTCTGCAGACTCGAAGTTTTGGGTGAGTAAGCTGTGATTGTGTCTTTTTCTTTTTTTTTTTTTACACATATATTACAGGTATATAGTACATTTATTTGAATTGATTTCTTTTAACAGCCACTCTTCTTTCTGGTCATTTTTCCAGGCATCTGATGTCTTAGGAGAACTCTGTGTCTTGATGTTGGTTCAGAAGTCAAAGGTACCTCATAGTTTATAATTGCTCAGATGAAACGTTTTAGTGTTTTTCACACTAGATATGAAACAACCCAGTAAACTGCGACTGTTGATCATGTTTGAGTAGAGCTGTACAATATAAATGTTCACAGAGGTACATCATGTCTTCGCAGGAGCTGAAAGTGCGAGAAAATAGTAAAAGGGTAAGTACAACTTATTTTTCTCAGATTATTTTCCCTAAAATGATGCAACTGGACCCAGAGAGACATGTCCCGATTAAACCTAATGACAAATTTGTGTTGCCTAGTTTGTGTGTGTACTAGCTTGTATGTGTGTGGTTGCTAATTTTTTTATGTCATGCACTATTTGTGCAGTTTTTATTTCATTACTCTAGACCACAAGGTAATGCCTTGTCACAGGGGGCGGTAAGTAAGTTACAAGATAAATCTGCACTGTAAAGTCTGTAGCTTGACCGAAGAAAGCACCTCAGATTGTTTTACAGCTATATTTGACCCGCACTTTGTGTGTAAACGTGGTACTTACTTTTCAAATGACTTGATTCCACTGTGTAAATGATCGCACTTCAATCTCCAAATCAAAATGCATGCAGGTACACATTTGCCACCACAGATAACCACTGTGTATATACATATATGCATGCAGGCAATGACTGCGACATGAATACGCACACATACACAGTCCTCATATACACACATATAAAAATCTTCTCGTTGCGCTCGTCTCCCTTGTTCTGTGCTCCGCATGTCAGATGTTTATAAACCGGCAGTTTTATTTCTTGGTTGCATGAGAACTTGGAATATGTTTGCCCGCTTTGTCTGCCGTTCACACTGGACAACACAAACGTGAGTCAAGAATCAGGGAAAAAGTTATATCAACACTACAAAATGTGTCTGCAGTTCTTAACATCACTACTTAATGATGCATTTTGATTATTGAATAGGATCCTCCTTGATGTTTTTATGCGTCAGCTGAAAGAACAAAAGATTTCTGGTCATTTCTGGTCATGGATTTCTGCTACATGTAGCAGATAAAAAGTCAACTAAGATGGTGCAGAGCTGCTTTTTTGGAGTTGTGATAACAGTAGTGAGTGAAATATTTACATTGTAAAGCCGCAGACTCAGTGTTACATACGTTATGATTATTTACATGTATTTAGTTTCCTTTATGTGCATTTATGCTCATTGAAAAGTACAACAACATAAAACATCCCAGGATGCGAGATCACCTGCCACAGCAAACCATATTTCTCATATGAAATATGAAGCCACATTTTCCTCTGCTCCTCCATCACCAGGGTGTGAATAATGCAGAATGTGATGTGTTTTCTGAAGACTGATGCTGAGGCTGCAATGAAGAAATTGCTGCACCAAGGAAGCATTTGTATTACGTTTGTATTTCTGTGTCGCATGTTCTTGTGTGTTTATTAGAGAGAAGACTCCATACTCTGTACTTTCCTGTCCACTGGAGCTGTTATTCATGTTTGTGTGTCTGGCTCTGTGTGTTTGTCAGACCCCTCTGTTGCACCCTCTCCTGCATCTTGTTTCCCAACTCCATACAAGAGGAGAGAGAGGACTCTCAATGCGCGTATGTACCACCCACGCCAGTTCTCCTTTCACTCGCCTTATTTTTTTTTGCTTTACAAAATAATCTCACAGCCACTGATTGATAAAGCAAAGATATTGAAAACAAATACATTGCCTTTTTAGCATACAAAAAACTGTATACAATCAGTGGTGCAAACTGACATTTTTTCACAATGTATGGAGGTGTCTCAACTGCAATAAGTTCCCTGGTTGATAATATAGGGGACAAAAAGCATACAATGTACAGCATGCATTTTTGTATGTTTGTAGCAAATACTGATGAATGTGTGTGGTACTTCTGTAGCTGATCTCAACGAATGTTTTCCCCTTCCCGAGCTTACATGTCAATAATGCTGGTTCATATCGGGCAGCTCTCCTCACTCTCTGTACAAACTCGGTCTACATTAGTTGTTCTTTCCCAAGCTGCGAGCAATTATGGTCTAAAATGAGTGCATCTGACAGGTGAACTTATCTCTCATTGCTATCGAGCGCTCACATTTGCAAAGTGGACATAGAGGAATTGTGAGTGAGAAACGCGTGGGGGTGTTTGTTTTGGAAAATCCTGACGTGAGTGCTGATGGCTTTTTGCTGGTGGAGGAGAGTTGTAGCAACACGGAGAAAGTGGCAAAGAAAACGGGGACATTGTTCTATAGAAGTTAAATTCTGTGGTTTTTGTGTCTATACAGGCTGAACTCCAGGGACCTGGGGGAATCCAGAGCAGAGGCTACTTCCTCTATCGGGTATGAACATGTTTATGTTAGAATATGAAATAATTAAAGAATTCCCCTGGATAGGATGAACATTCAATAAAATGTTGTTTGCACTTACAGCCACGAAATGGAAGAAGGTCCTTAGAATATGAGTAAATTAAAGGTAGGCCCTATACTTTCATTTTAACAACTGTACCAACAACTGTAGAAGGCATTGCTGTCCAAAATTGAAATATTTTAACTAGATGTTATGTAAATCCCTCATACAGGCAGAAAACATGGATGATCTGGACAATGAAATAAAATAAATATTTATTCCTTGTAAATGATATAGCATCACCATAGCAACATATCGTCATACATGTTACGTTTTGACGTCCTGCCATTACATAATTTCTTAAGATTTTCTTTTTAACTTTAGTTGTAGTTATTGTGAAAATACTGTGTTAGAAATGGTTCTTTTAATTATTATTTTTAGATATTAGGTGGAAACGGTGTTGCACTTTAACCAGAGGGTCCAAAGACAATATTAATAATGCTGGGGAAAAAAAGCACAAGGGCCCCTTAATTTTCATACAGTCCCTAATTGCCCTTGAAATCCTTCCATTACTCTTATGGTAGCAGTCATTGTTTGGATTATAATGAACTACAGGCTGCTAACACCATTTTTATATGGGGTTATATTATCAGAGTGTTCAAAGTGTTTTTGGTTTTGTAATCTTCATCTAATTATGTGTTTTAATGTGTGGTAGAGACTCGACCTCTGAAGCTTAGTGTACAGAGACAACACAGACCCTGAGACTTGAGCTGCTGCACCACGACTGAGTGATCCAGATTTCAACCACAGTCCTCTGCCACTGCTGTATAGTGATGTCTGAATGTACACAAAGAATATGATTAAAATACTATTCATTTGTCCAGATTTTATTTTATGTTACGTGTGTCATTTGCATTAAAACTGCTATAATGTGGTTGGGTGTAGTTGTGTACGTTTGATTTGCTGCACGTTATGAATAAGTATCTTTCTCTGCATTTGTAAAATGTGTAAAACAGGTAGTGGATGCATGAATGAATGCAGATACATACAATCTAAAATCTTAATATACACTGAAGTAAATATTTTAACCAAAAATAAAAGTATTTATTTGACATAAAATGTTATATAGAAAAAGCATATATGTACTGTTAAATATAAACACTTTGAAAATGTACATTTTTAAATCATCATAATTAAGATAAAGTAGGAACTGTTTGTTTTCCTGTTTGTCCTGGCACTCATAATTAAAATAAAGTAAGCAATCTGTAACACTGAACAAACAAAGCTGCTAAAAGAAAATGCCATAAACTCCTGCAAGAATAAATTGAATATTTGGATGGATTGTGTTTTTGACACTATTAGATGGTATTACACCAGAGATAAGGATGATCTGAAATGACAAAACAAACCATTCTGTTCATTTAAAAATAAGGAATAAAAGTATTTAAACACTCCTGATTATAAAACTCAAATGCAACCTCTCATATGCTGATAATTAAACTTATTTTCCTTTAGTTTTACTAATTCTTTACATTTACAAATACATTTTCTTTTCTCTTCCATAAATGTTGCATTATTTTCTACCCTGAATATGTAATTACTGTTATCAACAGTAGATGTCACCATTATCAGCCAGATAAAGCAGAGCGTTCTTTGTGACACTACAATTCTGTTGATATATAAGTCAAGAGAGGAAGATGCCAACGTATGCACACTAATGTTTTATCCAGTTGGTTTAAACGTGATTTCATTAGCCTTTTAAAGTGTGCATCACCTTTACAGGCACGATAAGAAGATGAATCCTAATAGGTGTAGATTTTGAGATTACTCGAGTGATTGTATAATTCATGATAATCAACCTAATACCGTCCTAAAACTCTGACATATAAAAGAAGACATATTTAAAAGTTCCAAACAGGTGCAGAAAGGTTCAGGAGAGGCAAATTATTAGTATTCTGAGTATTACTCTCAGTATCAGCATCATCGCTGGAGTTGTTTAAAGGTTCAGCTGCACCACGGTAAACCACACACCGTACTCAATGTGAACATTTTATAGAACAGAACATTTTTGGTGTCTGCTTGCACCTCCAGCCATGAATATCAGCGTTTTTCACAGCCTTTATATTTCAGAGCAGAATGAGCAACTGTGTAAAATACCACATGAAGTCATGTTGGGATTGAGTCAGTAATGTAAAGCTAACTTCTAAATTGTTCCCTTTGGGCACTCAGTGTGACTCATATCACCTGACAGTAAGATTGTTGACAGTGTGACTGAAGAATATTGTATCTCAGGACGAATAATGGAAAAAATATTACTGACCAATTTTCCCGTTTGACATCCTTCCAGGGAGATATGAACACGAGTATAAAATCATATAATAATAAGGCCAGTTTTTATTTCTATAATCAAAGTGGGTTATTTACTCATTTTCTCTTTGTTGCCTCAAACTTGCCTTTACTGATTTGCTAGCCCTTAAATCCATGACATAAAATCAACATTTCAAGGTGGACGTGACCAGTTTGCCAGAGATGCTTTCAGGAGAGGCACTGGATGCATGCAAATCATTAAACATCATCAGTGAATGTAGAGGCGGCAGTGCAAGCAAAGCCTGGGTTTAGATAGGTAATGTGACAGAATACTACCCTCTGTGCCTGCCTCTTCACTACAGAAAGAAGAAAAGGGACAAAATAAGCAGATTGCACTTCCTAACACATAATAAGGACAATACATTTGCGTTGTGTGTAGCACTTTTTCCATACAGTTCATGCCAATCAAATTCATCATTTTAATCTCTCCCTCGACCTAATGTCGAAACAGCGCCACCAGTCTATTGACTTCATCCGTGTGGTCGTAAGTGGTACTGCAGGTTTTGCTAGTTGGGCTGTTGCCATGGTGATGAGGACCACGCTGGAGATGGGGAAATGTTAAAATAATCTGTTGGCCAATTAATCCAAAAACACTCAAACAGACAGGAGAACTACAACGTTAAACAATACAGTGTTTGGCTATTCACAATCAATAAAATTAATCAATTAATTAATTAAAAAAAAAAAAACACAAAACACTTTAAGCAAAATCCACAGGTCTGTATGGTATACTGAATGAGATAACCCCATAAAGAAGAAATAGTGTAGACTTACAATGCTATACAATATATTTCAAATGGGATTTACAAGATAAGAAAGATATTTTGATCTTTGACTGTTTTTTTGTCTGTAAAAATGTCTGGGATTCAATACACACACACACACAAACAAAAATCTTACTCAGAGTAAAATTTGACTATGTATATATGTATATAACAACAAGCACCTTTTAACAGTACTGTAAACAACAGTATTTACAGTAATGGGTCCAATCTGTCATCCAGACCATAGTATGTAGTGTTTAATTAAACACAACGTTAGAAGAAAGAAGACTACTATTGAATTTTGCCTTTCCACAAGTGATTCAATGTAATTTAACTGATTTTACCTGCAACAACAACAACAACAACAACAACAACCACCAGACAGAACTAGTAAATGACAGTAGGTGCCTGCGAGAGACTGCCCAATCCAGGTGATGAACCTAAACCTGGAGGATCACCTCCCTCTAACTGTGTGTGTTGTGTGGAGTACAGCGGTAGGCCCCTCCGGCTCCAGCTCCAGCTCCAGCTCCAGTCAGCCTGCCTCAGCCCTGCGCAGTCCACCGTCAGCAGCGCCACTGGGTGCAGGGATATCCCGATGAAAGGGGAGGCTGTTCGGGGTAAGTGTGACATCTCTACCGGTGAACTCGGCTCCGTGTTTATATCGCGTATATCGGCAGCCCCTGTGTGTACTATTGGCACACGTTAAAGCTGCATACGGAACCGTTTTGCTTTGGCTCGGTTGGTGACAGCGACTGGCCAGAGGCCCGGTGACCCACATTCTTATCTAATGCACGATAGCTAGCTAGCTCCGGCTAAAAGTGGGCTGACATACATACAGTACATTGTTGCGGACGAGTTGAACGCTCGCTGCGTTACACTATAAAGTCCGTAGTCAGCGGGGGAAAATCGTCCGTCTCACTTGTCACGGATAAAGGTGCCTCGGCAGTGTGTGTCATACGTCGCAGTAAGTGTGGCACTTTACAAAGCTGCTGTTTTGTTGCTGTAATTGACGTTAGCAATTGAGCTAGGTGGCGTTAGCCTTCTTGCAATCACTGCCCGGTTCGCCGGCCGGCTTCACCGGCAGCAGATAGACACACAGATGAGCTCTACCTGGGGTTGTCACTTCAAGGCTGACTTTAGTTCGGGTGACTTTACATTACTGACGACCATACACATCTCACCGGCACAGTTTTTTCCTCATTTACTGCCTCTTTTGACGTGTGTGTGTGTGTGTTTTTTTTTGAACCTGGTGGTAATGAATAGATGTGTGTCAGCTGCTGCTCTCCATTCAACAGATAAGGAACTGATCACATTGTCATCTGTCTTGTCTGAGAGGGGACTCGGACCTGGATCATACCTGTGCAGATGTTTAGTTATGCAGTCTGATGTGAGGGTCAGATATGTTTTATTTGTGAGACAAGTGGGTGCTGTAATGGCTGTTTTATGTGATGGAAAAAGTTTCACTTTGGTTCATAAAGATGTCATGAGAATATGCTAAGGCGAGATCTTTAGTATTTTCAATTGTGCAGTGTTTGTCACAGTCATGTATTGTGACAGGTAGGCAGAAATGGCCATATTGAATATTGAATGTGTGAACGAGGTTTGCTTCGGATTACAACCCAGATCAATGTTTTTCTAATGTAGAACTCCTGACATGAACTTTATACTTTCTATGAGTAAATAAAAACAAACACTAGAGAAGAATGTCTCTCCTTCTGATGCAAACACATTTCAATATAGATTCAATGATTTGTTGTCCTCAAATACACTTTAAGGAGGCTATGAGTCTGTACAATTTGATTCACATTTATTGCAATGCAATGGGATGTGGCACAGCATATAATTCAATTATATAACAAAGTTAAGTTATGATGTTAGTGGAACTATTTAACATCTACTGTAGTTTGATGGTTATTGTATGAGATAATGCTGAAATGGTTCCCTTACATTTTGAAGACTGTACTATCAAGTCAAATGTCTTCCTAAAT